CGATGAAGTTGTGAACTTGGTGATGCAGGCTGATTCGTGAAGACCAAGAGAACAGAATGTTCAGGGAAATTGTGTTCTCTGTCCTGGTGGTGAATACGTGGTAAGGGAGAATCCGCACAAAGCAATGTTTGAAGTGAAACGGACAATTAAATGCGGACCTTGGGTATTAGACACAGGATACCTCATGTTTAGTAGTGTGGAAAGAATGTAACCATTAATGTGTCTGATGTGACTGTCAGCGACACTTGATCATAGACAGCTCAATCTAACCTCTCTATGTTGTGCCTTAACTATGAGATATTCAAGGGGAAACGATTTACAAGAACTCAAATGCTTCTCGACGCTTGGAGACAACACAATTCTCTGAGCAGAATTGCGTCCCTTTGGCGCTTTAGGAACCTATCATTGTCGGTTCCAACCCCGGTTCCCCCGATTACATATACATATTGTATATACATATATATTTGTCTAGGTTTGTCAGCACCGCATCGGTTCGCTAGGGCTTCACCATGTTGGTATACTTCCGGGTCCCGCGCATCACTTCCGGCATTCCTTCATCATTACGTGAAAAGGTCGTAATATAACTTGAATACTGGCGTTAAATCCAGCTCCCTCCCTCGCTTCTCGATACTGTTTGGTCTGATGCCACAGCTTGGTGTAGTTTGTTTTGAGCACAGGTGGCGCCCCGACTCCAGAGTTGCATCCCTCAGGCTTCCCAAGCACCAATGGTCGTTTATTCAAATCCGGTTCGTCCTGATGAAGGGGTGGGGTAGCCGAGTGGTTAAGGCTACGCTCGTCACGCCGATTACAAGGGTTCGATTCCCCACATGGCTACAACGTGTGAAGCCCATTTCTGGTGTCCATCGCCGTGATATTTCTGGAATATTGTTCAAAGCGGCGTAAAACTCACTCTCTTACTCCTGATGACTTTTCTAGGATTGTCGACATCCAGTGAGGAGTTTCAGCAGCTAGGTTGACATCCAAGACCCGCATCCCCACAAGCGTTCCTCCCTCATCAAACTGCCACGCCGTGATTCATCTGAAATACTGTATTACCCAAACTCACACGGTTTATCTTTGTACGTACAGTAACCAATACTGTAGGAATATCCCTATCTGACAAAATCTGAACTAGCCAACATGGGTTTTGGGAAAAGATCTACAAACGATCCACAACCAATACATCTTAACCCCGGGGGTACCTGGCAAATCCACCACCCGACCCAACAGTCAAAGAGCGTCATCTATCATGGGTAGCGGGTGTGGGGTCGGGTTTCAGGACACACACGGGGTACTTATGAGTACAATACGCGAGGCCATGGTGGACATTCCTTGCAGTAGACACGGTTCCATTTCACTGATTGTCGCGATCCACCAGCAAACCAACGAGACAGGATTGCCTTCCATCCATAAATTCATTCCTTACAAAATGATAATTTTCTTCAATATTTTTTTAGAAAAGGGAGCTCCTTTACTGTTTATTTTCTGAAATCATGCAAATGCATATAAATATTATTATTATTATTATCGTTATTATTTAGATTATTTTATTGGGGTTTCGTGACAGGGTAATCTGGGAATGGCGTTCATGGCTAGTGTTCAGGCTGTCTTACATACCGACAAAGCCTGTAGTGCCAGGTAGTCTCACATGCATGTACCCAGTGTTTGTTGATGATATGATTAGGTGTCCTCATTGGGGTGGACGTGCCGCATGGCCAGTGCTCTACATACCCGTGTATACGTTGCTAAGGCTGACCACTTCTCCGGGCATATCGGCGTTGTTTGTACGTACGCTAGGGCCAGGTTGTCGCACTACATTAAAATGCCGAGTAAGCAAGTTTCTCTTCCAACCACCATCATACATTAACCTATAGGAATCTCGGCGTACACATTATCTGACACAGAGATAAAGCGATAAATTCCAAAACCTCAAATGAGGCTTTGATATGATCACAAATCTTTCATTTTTGGTTTTCAGTACTCGTTTTCTTGGCTGTGTGTTATCGCTGCAAATAATATACTTTGTTAAGTGATGTGGGAAATTCAAACAACTTTTGTGTAACTGTTAAATTTCCCAGACTGTCTGACTTTTTGGGCTGTGTTGTCACCGTAGCTATCATCAAAATATTTTCTACTCAAGGCAAAGCTTTTCGGTTTCCTTACTGAGCTACTGCTATGTAAGGGGGGTGGGGCATCCTGGACGTCGTACTGAGCTACTTCTATGCAAGGGGGCATCCTGAACGTCGTACTGAGCTACTGCTATGCAAAGGGGGGGGGGGGGGGCATCCTGAACGTCGTACTGAGCTGCCCGCGATGCTGGGGACTCCCTGTATGTCGTGGCTGCTCCGTGTATGTTGAGCATAGTTTTGTGTGCAACCTGTAGACATCGGTTCGCGATTCAGATACAGGCCTAACGTAGTGAAGTTAGTTTCACTGCTCTCCTTATTGACTTATGTGGACGTCAACTGAGGTTAATGTTGACTTTCACGAGGCTAAGGCAGCCAGGGGCTTAATGGTGATTACAACCTTCCCGACAAATGCGTGCCTCGTGGTAGGTGGTATGTCCTTTCCCACTTTCAGATCGTTTCAGTTTCTAGGACATTTACCGTCAATGAAGATACTTCTTCAGATCCCTAATGACATAGAGGATTTGCTATCATGTCATGTAAATATCCTGGTAACGTTTACGTCAAGCACGATCGACGTTGACTGTCTGTCGTGGCCCAAAAATGTGCCTTTTTCAAGATTGTTTTCTTTATAAAGAACATTGTGGCATTTTTTCCTAAATCTTTTGGACAAACAGGAAACCTTAGGCAATTACCTTATAATAATTCAGAAAAAAATACGAGAAAATAAATTAAATTGTATATTGTTTATATAAAATAATCGTTAGTGAGGGTATATTTTGATAAAAGTTATGAAGTGTGTCATACTGACTTTTGTGAATATGCATGTCATATTGTATTTATGCTTAATGTTCCAACCTTAATTCTGGACAACTAAGAGGTTTTCCTTCCATGTGATGACTATGTCGATAGGAGTTATCTCCTCTTTGCCGTTATGAGCCCCCCGATTGACATTTCAATCAGGAATTACATGCTATTTTAGACTGGACGTTAACCAAAACATCAGCAATTATGTTTTCATGATTCTGTGACCATAAAACGGATTCATTGAATCATTTTCCGGATGAAAAACAAGTTTGTGACAAAGCGCAGCCTTCTGTCCCACTTCAATCATTAACCGTGGGAATCTCACGACTTTCACAGGACGTCAAGGCTGAGATTCACCATAGGCGCCTAAACCGCTTCCTTCCACGATTTTTACGCGAGCAAATCTGACACGTGACAATGTTTTAGAGTTGATAAAATTTAACAATGTAAAACAGATTTTGCATTGTTTACAATCGTGTGTTTACTACTTATCGTTTACGTAAGGACTTACGGATTAGTAGTTAATCCTATAAGAACAGCTACTACCTGTCTGGGGTCAAACTGCCGTCAAAACAACACAGGGTCACACAATAGATCTGTCGTCTTAAAAAACGCCGCATGTTTTACAACAAAGGAACGTGTCTATTGTGTACACGTGCAGGTAATTCTCGTGCATGACACAATCAACCCAGCAGGGTGCTCGATGCTTGTGTTGTTGTAAGTTTGACGACCACTCACCAGTCGTCGGGGATAGGCAACAGTATGTAAGGGATGCAGGGCTCTGGCGGTCAGAACAAGTTGTAGCAGATGGTAGAACGCAGTAATTATGACGACCACCACAAGTAAACTGCTCCTGCGAAAAGACCTGTTTAGGATAAAGACTGAACAGAATGATTGGTGAGAGTTACGGCCCCTCCGTTGTTTCAGGACATAACCCATTGATGAATAATGATTATAGGTGTTGATGTGTCGGATCGATATTTTAAGGAAGAACTTTTTGATCGGCAATTTTAGAAGTTGCATGTCAAAAAGTAGTCACAATTGCTAAAGAAGTTATTTCCAGAAATTGTCCACCTTGTGCTTTTGACGGTATGGCGAGATGACGATAAATTATGTTGAAATAGGATGATGTCTTGTTTGAATATTCCGATTTTGTAGTTCTGCGTGGATCGTGATGTACCGCGACAACAGCTGTCTTTGGCGTTTATATGTATATAACTGCGCACATGTCGATTGGGTACGATGCTTTGTTGTTTTAAATGTCGAATCGGATTGTAATTGCATATGGCTGATTCACAGTTTGTGTGACGCTCTGATCGAATATGGTTTTCTTCATCAGAAGTGCTTTACACTTGATGAGACATTTTGTTAACACATGTTTTGCGCACTGGCGGGCACGTCAGCAGACATAAACGTGTCACCAATCGCAACAACTGCAGACACTGTCATGGGCTGTCTTTCAGGCGTTGTTGTGGACAGCAGTAGACGCTGCTTTTATTAACGATCTCATAAATAATCCCAACAGCAGTGTCATAAACGCAACGCGCAGTTAGAAACGATCGTAACGGCAGACGATGCAAGAAACAATCGCAACGGCAGACGATGTTAGAAACAATCGCAACGGCAGACGATGTAAGAAACAATCGCAACGGCAGACGATGTTATAAACAATCGCAACGGCAGACGATGTTAGAAACAATCGCAACGGCAGACGATGTTAGAAACAATCGCAACGGCAGACGATGTAAGAAACAATCGCAACGGTAGACGATATATATAGAAACAATCGCAACGGCAGACGATGTTAGAAACAATCGCAACGGTAGACGACCACAATAGGAGATGCTGTTATGAGCGTCCCAAAAGCAGACGCTGTTATAAACAATCACAACAGCAGGCGATATTATGAGCACTCACAACAGCAGGCGATTGCACGCACCAGCAGACATGTTACAGAAGCCTTTATACGAGTTTGTGAAGGTACTTCTCTGGGTTCTTCAGAGTATTTTATGAGTGTATGTACTGATTGCACTTCTACACGACTAACACGTCTGTCTTCTGTTACAGTCAGAACAAGCTGGACGAGGCACTGCTGACATCAGGCCGCGTGTCTGACGCCATCCAGTCCCTGCTGGAATGGCTGCAGAAAGCAGAGGCCACAATCTCCGACGAGCAGCAAGTCCTAGGAGACTTGGACACCGTCCACATGCTGTATGAACAGCATCGGGTAAGTCACAACTGTTTGAGTAGAATCTAGGATCTACCTCTGAAGAGGGTTGGACCTGATACGGCTGGAATACTGCTGCTTGGAGACAACATTCACTCTGTCCTCGCCATGATCTGTGAGGTGACACAAATATCACACATCATTATTGTATTGCATGATCCGTCCGGCTCAATTTAGCAAGTAAACGTTATCGTTTGTGTTTGATACAATTTTCGTTCAAACTATTTGTGTAATGGCTGTCGATTTTGTGTTCATCTAAAGGGTGATATATATCTATGTTGTTTTCTGTAATTCCAATGTGTTTTGTAGGCGATCCAGCAGGAGCTGGCGGCCCGGGAGACGACAGTGACGACGATGAAGACGGCGGGCAACATCCCCAGGTCGCAGGCTGACGAGCTGGCCGAGTTGTGGGAGAGGGTTAACTACCTCAGCGACGTCCGAGACAACAAACTGAGGGACGCTCTCAAACTGGTAGGCTTTCACTTTGTCAGTACAACCAGTCGCCAGTACCATTCAAGACAATTGTAGAAGGTGTAGTCGTTTATGATAAGCTTGGAGAGTGTTGTCCATGGGTTATCAGGTGTAATGGGTTTACCTTCATTTACACAAGAAACTAATAGAGAACTTGATATTTGAATTCTGACTTCATTGCTCAAAATACAAGCTGTATTCCTCCTCCTGGTGTTACGGTTTGATTTGTTTGTGCATCAGTACATTATTGCTATTGTAGGCCGAAGAGTTCCAGGACGTGGTCACGACGATGCGAGAGTTTCTACCACAGGCTGAATCGGCTTTGAAATTCAGAGCATTACCTGAAGACGAGGTGGCCATCATACAGCTGATTGAAAAGCACGAGGTAGGTGACGATCAAATACTGAATATAGACGCCATAGCCTCACAGAGCATGCTCGATATGATCTCAGTAGATGAACCAAAGCACAATGTATGCTTGAAATAAGCACTGTAGATGATGAACATAAGCATAGCTGATGAACATAAGCACTGTAGATGATGAACATAAGCACACTAAATTGCGAACATTAGCACAGTAGATGAGAAGTATTAACAAAGCTGAAATCAAGCACACCAGACAGTATAGCGAGCTCTCTATGTCCTGTCCATTATTATGTTTGCTCATCAGGTTACCGATGTGTGTTGTTGTTGTAGAAGTTCCAGGAGGAGCTGCGGAACCACCAGGATACAGTGGACAAGATCAAGGCCCTCGCTGAGGAGATCCTTCAGGCCTGTCATCCAAATGCTGTCCGATTTGTCAAGTACTACCTCACTATCACTCAGACAAGATGGGACCAGGTGAGTGATAGCACCAATTCCATGACATGACACACACAAGAGCACTGTTTTCATACACTCATCTGATTTTCTATTGTTTTTAGTCAAATCTTTTACAAATGAATTATCCCTTATCAGCTAATTTATTTACTGTTGGTTTTCCAATACAAATGTTAATAGTGAACGCAACTTGGTATATATTTAGCTATGAAGGGTTCGTGTGTTGATGAAATGTATTGGTGACTGTTCCGGTTACAGTTGCTGCAGCGTGCCAAGAGTCGAGCACAGAGACTGCAAGACGCCCTAAGGAACATCCAAGGTAACGCTGCACTCCTGGAGGAGCTCCTGGCCTGGCTGACCGACGCCCAGGCCCTGTTGTCCACTAAGGAGAGGGACCCTATCCCTGATGATCTCAAGGTTGTCGAGACACTGCTGAAGGAGCACCTGGTAAGTTGGAAGATATAAGCACGTGAAAATATAGATGTATTATCCACCAAAACCAAAATCATTGGGTGTAATCGAGGAACCAGCAATGAATTAATCACTGTTTGCAATAAAGATTTTGTATATTCTCCTGACCAATTAAGGTAACAAGAAATCCAAAATGGTTTCGTTGCCAAGCACATTGTCAGTGTAACTCTCATATGAACATATTTAAAGTTATATCTATATCCATAGATATCAAAATATCCATAAATTGGGACTCTGCTTTGCTTCCATATAGCCAACACATAATGCACATGTAAACCGCTTTTATGTAATCCCAAACCGATCAATTAAATTATACTTGGACTCTGATATGGGACAGTACAAGGTTGTGGAAACATTTGAAGTGAGCCTTGGTCAGTCTTTCAACCATTCTGTTCTGCAGGAGTTCCACGAAGAAGTTACCAGTAAAAACGCTGATGCTGAGAGACTGACCAAATTGGTGAACAGTGAATCAAAAGCGAACAGGCAGTTTGGAAGGTAACCAACATTGTCAGGAGAAATTATTTACTATTTACTCCAGTCCACGCTTCTCCTATGGTGCTGAGAATATAGTAGTAAACATCAGATGGTTGTTGGAGATACTAAGTCAGATTTTAAAAACTATTGTGCTTTTATTCAACATCTCTGAATATCAGAAGCTGTAGAATGTCAAAGTCGATAGAGTACGTTAATCAAAGGATCCTTCTTACGTTGAGCACATTGACAACAATTTATGTTCATATTTTCGATGAAATGAAACGGATAATGCTTATTGGTATTTAAAACAACTATTAAATGTAGTTGTTAAATTTGAAAATGAGTTGCACCTGTCCCCACTGAATTCTCTCCCCTTACTTACAGCAATATGCGGCTGAACGAAGTCGATGGCTATAACCCGCGAGTGGCAGCACTACAGAGCAAATGGCGGACAGTATGGCGGATGTCAGTGGACCGGAAGAAGAAACTACAAGATGCGCACGACACACTTCTAGAGGTAACATTCCGATAACTATCTGAACATGATGTATTATGAGATATTAATAACGATAACATGGTTACAAGTACTGCATCGTGGGATCATATCAAAATATCAATCTATTCTTAATTACAGTTGGAGAGCTTTAAGAATTTCAACTTTGACCTCTGGAGACAGCGATACCTGAACTGGATCCAGGCAAAGAAGTTCCGAATCACGGACTTCTTCCGGCGGCAGGATAGAGACTGCGATGGGTGTGTGACGCGGGAGGAGTTCGTCACAGGAATGTTGAAATCAAGTATGTATTCCTTCACTTGGTTCTGGCCCAACACTTGTTCCAAACAGATGATTCTCCCTCGGAAACTCAGTTACCCTACGTTATATTTTTATCTTTATGAACATGGACTCCTCTTTTGCAGAATTCCCGACCAACAAGACGGAACTGAATGCAGTGTTTGACATATTTGATAGAAGGAATTACATGGAATACAAGGAGTTTATTGATGCGCTTAAACCAGAAAAGGTGAGCTGTAGAACCTTGTGTTAGTGTAGGCTAAAATATCTAAAACATACAGGAACCAAACAGACTTTTATGTAGTATCATTTTCGTTCACATATGGGTAGTTTGTACCATAATTCTTGCGGTATTAGAGGGACTTATATTCTCCCGCCATCCTTGCAGTGATGGTAAAGTAGTTACAGAGTGTGATTGATTAATAGAACTGCAGACGTACCTGTCTGGCCTATTTCTTAATCCGAAGTCATGCACTGATGTGTTCATCTCTGTCAGATAATCATCCATCTTTGTAAAATGTGACTTTCCATCCCCAGAATAAATCCGCCCGAGCGAAGGCTGCGAACAGGTCCAAGTCTGACGTGGAGATGATCCATGATGAGATAGAGCGGGAAGTGTCGGCGTGTCAATGTCGGCATCAGTTCCGGGCCGAATTCGTGGACGAAGGCAAATACAAGGTAGATAACTCTTGTCTCCAAACTTTCACCATTGAGGGATGTTTCGTTGTGAGCACTAATTTTGTTGATCTTTCGTTTGTAAAAATTTGATTTATATTTTAATTCAAATTTTTCAGTTTGGAGACTCACGAAAACGTCGGGTGAGATTGAGTGGTTCCATCACGAGTTTTGTTTACTTGTTCACTATTCACATGTTGACTTGTTTGAGTTCACATGTTGACTTTTTAGAAAGGGCCATTTTGTCTGTGGTGATGTTTCTCTGTTTACTTTCCTGCGCTTGTTGATATGATAAAACACGAATATTGTTGAACTTGCTTGGTGTGGTACAGAATTTTATCGCCCTTGGGAATATCTATATCCCACAAATACGATGTTTGAACACAATGGGGTTTGTGGAGTTTTAAAGTCTTTTGAGGTCATGTGCATATTTTGTCTTTTGATGCAGTTAATCTTTCTACCGATCCGACTTTCTGCTTGCATGTGCGAAATAGGTCTAGATTCGGCAGACATTCGGCTTTGTAGTACATTTCATACGTAGCATGGTGCTTCATAGAAATACAATATGCAACGGGCCAATTTACATCTCTGGGTGTCTAGATCAAGCTGTAGGCAGACCTCATATTGTAGTTTGATATAAGTCGGGTTATACGCTGGAATAATGGGTAAAAACGTCGGTCGATTCCAACCAATAAAACTGCATGCTTAATGTGTTAGTAAAATTTTGTATCATGCATGGGAAGCCTTGGAACGATAAATAGTTAAAATACGTTGAGGGCAAGATAGATCCCGTCAGCGGTTGCTGTCGTTGAGGTTCATCTTAGAGCCGTCCCGTGTTTCAGTTCGGTGAGACAGAGAAAATCCGATTGGTTCGGTTCCTCAACAGCTGCGTGATGGTGAGAGTAGGAGGAGGCTGGGTCACGCTGGAGGAGTTCCTGGAGCAGAACGACCCCTGTCGGTGTAAGTATCACCGAGTTGTCGGCCCTTGGTTGATTACTCTCTCCTTCCCAACCAGATCCACTCCTTCCCTCAAATTAACACGAGTACAAGGAGGCAGTGAAAATCGTGATAATTATTGTTAATTTACGTTTTATATAATTTGCGATATCGCATGTGCCATTAATAGTGCATTCATTGATTATATCGGTGTCATTCAGTTAGAAAACGCTATAAAAATCATTGTGATTATTGTTCTATGAATTATTTACAGAGCATGATCAATATTTGTATATTTAACATGTTGTACAGCTTTAACTTTTATTCACACCTTATTACCGTTTGCATGATAAGTTAACATAGATTAGTGACCGATCGGAGCACAGTTTGTAAAACGTGCATTCTGATTTGAAACGGCCATTATTTATTTAAACATACTCGATTCAAGTGACACTGTAGTGGGTCCATGAATCTTAGTCAGTCCAATATGTTTGCATGTATGAGCTTGTCCATCCCTAACAAGAAGATAACAAATATTCCTTTTTTTATATTTTTGTCGGGAGCTAACTCGTTTTACCTTTTTTACTCACATGTGTATTAATTTAATGTTGCTTTAATGCGTTGGAACGCATCATGCTAATACTCATTGGCTGAACTTGTATAATTGGGTAAATGTTAGATATTGTGTTGCTTCGTGTGTGTTGGCAATGTCTGCTTAATACATCCGGGTTTTATGCTTTTTTCGTCCTGGTTTATTTTTCATCACGTGACTAATCTGGTTACTTCCACAGTGAGGGGGCGTTCAAATTATGATCTCAGGGACACCCTATTACTTCCTGACGGGTCAACTCCTAACACTTACGGCCGGAGGGGTAGCACCCCCGGGCGGAGCATTTCACCCTTCCCCACAGGGGTGAGGCGACGCCAAAACGACACAGGATATGCGTCATCGAATTCGTCAGGTACACGAAGTGTGATTGGCTGGTGCTGAGCATGCGTACTCAGTGGTTGCTGTGAATTTTCCATACGTGTGATTTGGTCTTTAAACCATAGCATTTTCGGTAGCGGATCTCCGATAATATGGTGAAATCTGGATGAGTTTCGGGTCTACGAATAACAAATATTTACTCATGTCCATGCCTACTTATATCATATTGGTTAATCTGAATAATATATGCATTATTATCATTATTATAGCATCCTTAACAAGCATGTCCAGTGTGTTTACTAACTCTGATATACATACAATACAATCAGCAATGTAATAACGATAAATATAGCATGCTTATATTACATCCAATTGTTGATCTACCCTGTAAAGCGATTCAATATATCCTATTATCCCAATATACAAGCTTGTATATAAATACGCATGAATATCTATGCAATTTGTTTCAGGGCCCTTTGATACAAGTGAGTTATGTAGGGGTAGGGGGACTTCTAACATGGCTCACACGTGTTTGTTAATGACGTCACATTGTCACGTGTGTTCACAATTGCTCTTTCAGCCGGAAGTTCAGCAGATTCGTCCTTGCGGCGCAGTAGAATTACTTCCTCTATGGTGAACCTATCTAATGCTAATGGTTCTCTTAACAAAAACCCAGAGTTTGGTAGGTTTGAGTAGTATAGAACTGTGTCGTTCGTGGCAGCGATTATTGTCCGTTTAAAGAGTAAATGTTTATTCCTTCCAAACTTCATCATGCACACACCTATATCTGTAAAAGACATCTTGTCTCACCAACGTAAGCTTATTGTCAGCGATACTGTTGGAAGTATGTTGGCAGTAGTTCACGACGAGCAATGTACAGTTGTTATACATGTACCTTGTGGTCCAAACGGGGCCCAGGATCGGGTAGTCAGGCTCGCTGACTTGGTTGACACATGTCATCGTATACCTGTTGCGTAGATCGATGCGCATGCTGTTGATCACAGGATTGTCTGGTCCAGAGTCGATTATTTACAGGCTGCCGCCATATAGCTGGAATATTGCTGAGTGGGGCGTAAACTTCAACTCGCTCACTCACTCCATACGGGGTCGCCTGCCACAAAGCCAACACAATACTGAAGTGCTCTTATGTCCAGGCTGATGCATGTCATCGTATCCTACTTGTATAAATCGATGTTCATGATGTTTGAATACCTGACCCCACCTTGACTATTTTGACTGACCGCCATGGGATAGCTGGAATAATGCTGTTAAACGGCGTTGTACAATATTCAAACTTTGATGACGGCAGTTAATGAATCGTGGTATTCACCAGCTGGTGCAAATACAGTTGTGGAGTTAGCAAGGTTTTGCTCTATGATGAAAAGAACTCTTTACTGAAAATGTTAGCCTGTGACTAACCCGGATGAGAGAGAAGTAACAAATATTGAACAATGATCGTTGCCTGTAGAATCTAGTTCATGCAGTAACCTTTACTCGCAGCTGTTCGCATTGTTTCAGTTTCAAAGTTTCACATTCATGTGTGTGTGTTCACGTGTTTCCTGTGATTAGAAATCCACTTGCAGTTTTAGTGATTCGTCATAGAAACAGCAATTACTAAAAAATGCTAGTGTGTCCATATGTGTATTAACCATTTGGCATAGAGCTGTTGAATTGTACATGTGTCAACAAACATCATTTAAGTTGAAAAGTCCACATGTTTGTATATGGTTTAACTTATATTAGATAATTACGTAAATATCACACATATTAAATTGAATTAGAACTGCTTGTTATAACTTATTACTGAATGAATTATAGGTTTCATTTGGACACTAAAATATGCACTAATGAATTTGTATTGAACATCCCTCTTTGACAGACAAGCTCCCTCAGTGGTGATGGAAACGTACACGGTTTTTTTCTGTTTCAGGTTCAACGGGGAGTCTAAGTCGTTCGAAACGTCTCAGTACTTCATCTTCTAGTATAGCATCCAACCAGGGTGGTGGACGAAGCACGCGCACTCCCACACCCGGGCAAACACCCAGTAACCGCAGACATTCTGGCGTGTACGGCACGCCCAGATCAACCACACCCACACCTACAGTTGCCTTCGGGTCAACGCGACCCAGGTCGAGACCGACCACCCCCACGACGTTTTCCCCTCGTTCATCGTCCACGCCTCAGCGACCCGGAAGTGTTACACCTACGAAGTCTATGGTGCGCACGAGACGACTTCCGTCAACACCAAAGACACCAACAACACCTAGTACCCCGACAAGATTTAAATGAACCATTCCATTAGTGCAAACGGACCATAAACCAGTAGCTTCCAAATTTTATTTACCCCAGGGATCTTCTTGTGCGATCTTTGACCACGCTGCATAACTTCAGGTCAGGGTCACCGTGTTTGAAAAGATTGATCGAGATCTGACGAATCCCTGCCATCGGCTTAGTGCGTCCAATCAGAATCCTCGTTACGCGTGGAGACCAATAGTGTGCTTTGTAACAAGGAATTGGTGCTCAGTGTTGTAATTCCTGGGAGTTGTGCCTTGCAATATAAGTAGTGCATATTTTAAGAATGGGTGTTGCACGGAGAGTGACGTTTTGAGACGTGTGTGGTGAAAGGAGCAGTGAGATCTGAGAATTTGTCTCATATTTTATACAGCAATATATAAGTTATGGCAAGAGTTATGTTCATACATTTCATTATAAAACCCATTATATATTCATAGCGCGATACACTTCAAATCAAAATTTTTATGAGATTATAAATATTTTGTTGTTAGTTTCGTTATCATTTTAGACTTTTTACGTATTAAATAATCATGTTTTATTCGGGGAATCTGGGGATATGTAACAATAGTACCTGGCCGTTGGTCAAACGCTTGTGAAATACGTCATATAAACTGCGTTCTACGTCATCAAATGTTGCATAAACCTAAAGTGTCTTATTTTTATCTGCAATCGTGTATTTCCTGCCATGCTGTAGCATTGAACAAAGAGTAAAAGACATTGAATATGGGAGGGGAGTGTTTAATATCATGTATAGATTTATTACCACATGTAAGTATGAAAGCATATTAAAATATGTAAACATTTTATTGTCTCTTTCTATAACGCTGAATGGAGACGTCTTTCAACGAAGGGCACAGTGGATAGCGTTGTTGCAGCTCGGTGTTGTTGAGAATTGGGTGTTGGGTGGATTGAATCCATTATGAACCCTGGTCTAGCATTCTTGTGATTGTGGAGGCGAACGTTTAATGTATGCATCATCTTTCTCACACCCGTGGACCGGTTTTTATCGGTGATATAGAACTCAAATGAAGAAACGAAACCCTATTATTACACAAACCATTACTGTTCACTCGAAGCTGGTGTATTTCAACCTCTGGTTCTCTTATTTCCGGACCGCCTCCGTGGTGTAGGGGTTAGAGCGTCCGCCCGGAGAGCGGAATGTCGCGGGTTCGATCCCCGACCGCGTCATACCAAAAGACGTTAATATATGGTACTTGTTGGTCACTGCCTGGCGCTCGGCATTAATGGGCACAACAAGGACTGGTCGGCTCGGAGTCAGTATATTGTGTCTGAGTGGGGTATTCATGCTTCACTGCGGCATGGTATCTCAGTGGTCTAGCACTTAAAAACCAGCTTAAGTCTGGGCTAGTACAAGCAGCAGTACACATACACACGCATGCACGTCGTCATATGAGCGAAATATTCTCAAGCACGACGTAAAACCCAATTTCACCTCACCTCACCTCTTATTTCCGTTAGTATCGACTTTTACCACCTGACCATGTACCCGAGTTATCCATTAGGGCTTGTGTAGATTATACTACAAAATACAGGATATCGTATATACAATACACTTCGGTAATAACTACAAACAAAAGCTATTGAAAATGAGCTTGAATTAATTTATGACACGATGAGTACAATACTTATTCTGAAATACATCCACGCACGTTCAGTTCACGTGAAGACAATGTTCTAGTCACCACGACCTTGATATTAATATATTTGTCTGGAATAATCTTGTGTCCACTACTTCAAAACATGCAACTAACATGTTTCTTGGAAAAGAAGAGTCTGAAATTTACACAGATGGTTTCAAGTTATCAATTGTTCAAGTCACCTGAGGTGCAGATGGTCAATGTGCAGAGTTGAGTCCCCTGGGCACACCCAAAACCTTAGAACGTTCGCTCGAATTATGTGTCCAGGTTTGTTAGCACACACACACACACACACACACACACACATGCTCCTCAAAGCGGTCAAGACCTGCATCTCTACGGGTTTTACTTCGACACAAAACCGATACACCGTTATAGGACTGCAACAATGTTTAAAGCATCGAGCAGGTAAAATGAAAGACGTTTCGCTGGAGATTTTACACCTAGTTTGATAACGGTGTAAGGATCTACATCGAAACGCCGCCCTATGCAATAAATAAGAAGTTGTCATCCATAAAGTTGTATGTTTCATTTTTGACTCACCAACTTTTGAATGCCGATCAAACAATTAAGAACGTGATACTCACCTCTTCAACGTTGCCTATTGGTTAAAGCGTTCGCTCGGACGTAGACGCTGTACACATGGTACACTCTGTCCCCGCCGACATATTCAAGGCCCTCGGTACATCTGAATAGACAGTCCTATTTAAGGAGTCTTTTGTTCTGCGGACGCATTTTACAGCAAGTCTGAAGTTATTACAGCGAAACATGGATATTATGTTCCGTTGATGAGCGATAAGGTCAAATTTCTAAACAGGTATCGAGACATCGTACAGATTTTAAACTGAGAATGTATATTGCATTAAGATGCGTTGAGGGAGTGGTCCCAAATTGAAAGAAACAGTCGTATAATGTCATTCTGAAGATTTCTGATTTTGTTTGTTGTTAAACGCCAGCAATATTCCAGCTGTATGACGACAGTCTGTAAACACAATCTGAACCACGTCTGAACCATACAATCTAGTCATTGACGTAATGAGTATGGATGTTGACATGTGTTCAGAGTCTGACCACCCGACCCTGTTAGCCGCCTCGTACGACACTGACTGACTGACTGACTGAGTTTGGTTTTACGCCGCCTTTAGCAATATTCCAGCAACATCACGGCGGGGGACACCAGAAATGGGCTTCACACATTGTACCCATGTGGGGATTCGAACCCGGGTCTTCGGCGTGACGAGCCAACGCTTTAACCACTGGGATACCCCACCGCCCCGCCTCGTACGACAAGACCAATAGTGCATAATAGGTGTGATCATAACATTTAATCTACTGAAGTTATAGAACAATATATAGAACTTATATGAAGAAAATGTTTGATGGATAATGCTGATTTGTTGTTTAAGCCTTTGTTCATGACACTAAGATGGCAACAATACCAAGATACCTGTACATATTGACACCATCTGCCACCCCTTTTAGACGAGTGATGATAAAAAGCGAACGATGTGATTTATGAAATCACTCCAAAATGCTGTGTTTCTTTCGAATCCAAATAATCTTAACAACAACCTCAATTTGCGAAAAACACCGGTTCTTTATTACACCCACAGCAGATCATTCTCTCCAAACACCTTGAAGTTCGCCCCGCAAAGGGAAACAACTCAAGAATCTCTGGTATTTAACGCAATTACGCCCCTTGATCTGCTTCCACTTCTACTGAAGAATGAAATTAATATACTTATGTTGTTTGCGAAAATACTACAGATGTGTCACATACAAAAGAAATATCTTTTCTGTAGTTACACTTTTCTGAAGGTGAATAACAGAATTAAGCAGGTACAGTTCATATATGTATACATTGTCTTTCTTACCGAGTAATTCATATGTGTATACAAAAATCATGAAGTCCAAAGGTTAGGGGAACATGCTCCTCAGTGAAAATGTTTTCGGGGGAGAAGGGGGATCCGCCCCTGCTACTCGCTAACATGGTTGACACATGCCATCGTATCCCAGTTGCGTAGATGGATACCCATTTTGTTGATCACTGGATTCTGGTCCAGACTTGATTATTTAAGTGGTGGCATGTGATCCTGTGCATGGTGCTCGGGTCATAAAGCGGTTGAGGTTAAGCAACGTCGAGCTCGGAGAGTCCTCGGATGGGTGACCGTGTTCGGCAGCTTGACTGCTTAGAGTTTCTAGGACTTCAGTCCGGTCCCACAACGAAACATGTGATACATGTGGTCTCATCTTAGGCAAGAGAGTGTGTTCAAACATGCCTCTGTTCACCTAGCAGAAAATGGGTACCCGGTGGGATAAGTCATGTGACTATAACCTTCTAACGCCGGCAGCTTGGGTTATCTGGGGTAGTAATGTGCTGTGCAAGCACCTGGAGCAGACTCTTAGTGCCTGGAGTATTTAGCACTATAAAAAATACACTCATTACTTACAGAGCGCCGCCATAAAGCTGAAATATTGCAGAGTGCGGCGTTAAACCAACCAACCAACCAATCACACCGGCACAGGACGTTGGCATCCACAACTTGAGTGAAACAGAGGCAGAGTTATGATTAGGGTGAGATGCTGATGGACCGTGAATTGTAGTTTGGATGAATCGAAGCCTAGTAAGCGGATCCTGGCACCACGAAGAGACATAACACATGTAACTACTTAAACAGAGTGTGTGGTGAATCAAACAATTTATTTATCTATGAACTACTAATGACAGCAAGATGAACTATATAAACACTCACCCATACGAATCCATCCACAAAGAAAGGCAAGACCAAACAAACATCAGCCCAGCGTCCTTTAAGCGTAATTGAAAATTAATGCTTCTGCGCTGTAACTGCTATCGTAGCGCTACAACTGTCTATGTTACAGTATAGGAGGTACGACAGTCGTAGGGCTACGATAGCTTTGTGAAACGGGTCCCTACCGAGATGAGTGAATCGTCGTATTATGCTCACCGCATTGCAATTGTCAAATGTGAAATCAAGTAGAACCTACCACTCTCAGCATGAAATATTTCTCCAATAAACCTTTCGGAGAAAATGTAGTCTCACATGAACAGCGTACAAGGTGACATTGTTAAGATCAACACACAAAGCTCCACACAAGTGGTGACAATGTGTTTGTTGTTTGTTTATGTGAAGGTTTGGTGAACGCTGTCTGACTCCTGCACTCAACGGCTGTGCCCATGACGTTGGATTTACCACTCAATTTAACCACAGCATCCGGAGTTGGCGAATTGGGAGAATAATAACAATTCGACCTCGGCACTTAAATCTACAATCATAAACAAATCTCGGAGTTGGGTTGTATATTACACACAAGAACCATCAACTCTGTCCAAGGAACATTACGTCCTCCGACCTCTGTGTTCAAGTTACTTAACCATCTACTGGTCAGCGTCGTCCAGAACGCCCACAGCAGGCTTATGTTCGTGTATAGTGTCTGGAGGCAAGGGACTACTAAGAAGACTTCTTCGGGGCAGAAGTGGACCTTGAAGCCCCTCAGAGACAGAAGCGGACTTTGAAGCCCCTCAGAGACAGAAGTGGACCTTGAAGCCCCTCAGAGATAGAAGTGGACCTTGAAGCCCCCCAGAGACAGAAGTGGACCTTGAAGCCCCCCAGAGACAGAAGTGGACCTTGAAGCCCCCCAGAGACAGAAGTGGACATTGAAGCCCCCCAGAGACAGAAGTGGACCTTGAAGCCCCTCAGAGACAGAAGTGGACCTTGAAGCCCCTCAGAGACAGAAGTGGACCTTGAAGCCCGCCAGAGACAGAAGTGGACCAAGGACTCTTTCGGAGTAAAACCGACTGCCAAAAAGACATCTGTAGGAAAGGGACTACGAAGACATCAAAGGTGGAAACGCCACTACTAACCAGTCACTCATGGCCAGCCTTATATAGCCAATAGTTTGTATTGTTTACTGTTTGTTTGTTCGTTGTTCGTCCCCACTCAGAAATATTACAGCTAGCATACGGCGATCTGTAAATAAACGAGTCTCGACCAGACAACCCAGTGGAAGAAATCATGAGCATTGATCGACGCAGTTGGGATACGATGACATGTGTCGACCAAGTCAGCGAGTGTGACCACCCGATCCTGTTGATTACTGTAGATCAGTTCTATTTTCTGTATTTCATGTCACATCGCCGGTTACCGAAGACTAGTCGTACCAGTGTTCTGATACTGTGCCAAGTCTGATACGTGTGAAAACAGCCGCTGATTGTACCCTTAAAAATTAATTTAGGGATACAATGGCCTAGTGTATGCCTGGGGTACATTCAAATTATCGCCAGAGCAACTTAACCACTCCAGGAAGGGGAAAATAACTCTTACAATGTTCAACAACTTCCACAGACAACATGTATACTACAAGCAAACAAATATGGGAACACCCTAAAACTTGATAGTCATGGCAAAACTGAAACGTGGTGAGGCCATTTATATTCGAAGGTAAACGCAACTTTTTGTGGGCTTAATGGGCACTTTAAACGACATGTTGGAACATGCAGTGAAGCAACTGATTCAATATTCGTTGAGTTTGAGTGAAATGAAACGTTGTTAAAAACAGCGAAAAACAAAGGTGCTGAAACACACCAGCGCCATGTTTGATTCAAATGCCCGATCACAACTGCTTAGTGCACGTGGAAGACAATACACATGACGTCACCACGTTTCAGTTTATATACGACTATCAAATTTTAGAGTGTTCCCATATTTTTTGTTTGTAGTATATATTGTTAACCAGCAGTCTAGTAAACATAACATGTCCTCATTTGCACTTGAGTGAATATACCACACGAACTGGTTGTCCTAAGTGGTGGTTTATTTATACATAGCACTGCCTGTCTTGTGACCGTCAGACCCTGATTCCTGGGACTAAGGATTGGACTGTGAAAAATGGCAATTTGCATTTATTTTGTAATTACTGTAACCTTTTCTGTCACCGAAATTGGGTGATTTCACCATTTTAAAGAATTAACAAACATGGATCAACCTTCGTAATCAATAATGGATGTATTTCGTGATTCTATTTCAAGTGGCGAGATTAAAGGTATATGGTTTGTCTTGGCTATGTAGTGCTGCTAGTATTGAGTATAGCTAGGACCATTGCATCCTCGATAATCTCCAGGGTATACGTTACGATCACTCTCCACTATACCCTGGATGCATCCACGGCTTGGCCCGATGATTTTATTACCTCTCTTGACTGGCTCCGCATTCTCACAGTGGCCAATGAGCTAAGCCGCCGTTACATCCGAGCTTGCCAGTGTCAACAAAGATAGCGGTCGCAGTCGCGAAGGTTTGTTCGCAGTGCCACTCAGATTTTTGACACTTTCAAAAAATATATAAAAGAAATCTACCTCTTTCAGAGTACCTCTGCATCAATTGTGTTGCCAAGTTTAAACGGTTAGATAATTTAAGAAGCGAAAGTGAGTTGTGATTGGTTCGCTCAACTTCCCAGCATAGACACCTGATTGGATAAAAAGCCAGCCAAGGGAGGTAATAGAATCATCGGGCCAAGCCGTGGATGCATCCAGGGTATAGTGGAGAGAGATCGTAACGTATACTCTGGAGATTATCGAGGATGGGACCATTGACGATGTTGTCAAAGTTGCGCTTTACAGTTTGGATCCATTTCGTCATTATCGAAATACGGGCATTTGAAGCTTTGAGTGTGCACGCTTTCAATGCTAAAACCGTTTTGAAACAAAATTATTTCCATCACTTCTGTATGGAACCCTAGAAGGGACATTGTCGCGTTGTCGCATTGTCGCCTTGTCGTCCTCTCAAAAACAAGCAAAAAGAGGCAAAATTTACCAAAGCGCGACAACGCGACATATTCTGACCTTGAAAATAAATTGTCGTTATGTCGCCCTTTTTATGAATAGAAAAATATGATTCAAAACGCGACAAGGCGACATAGCTACAATGCGACAAATGGCCGAAATGTCTCGTTGTCGCGTTGTCGCGCTTTGGTTAATTTTGCCTCTTTTGCTTGTTTTTGAGAGATCGACAATGCGACAACGCGACAATGTCCCTTCTAGGATTCCATACTTTTGCGACTATGACATTCTTGCTTCCGAATAAAATACGCAAAGAATGTTTAACCATGTGCACGGACATGTTTCCTGAGAAAACCTTTCTGGTTCAGGGTTTGGAACGCTCCCTTGGCAAGGTGTAGACCATCTTTGTTAAATAATCCTACTTTTAATGGTACAATACGGTAATTTATACGTCATTCTAAACTGTGAAAAGCGACTCTGCTCCAGAATCCAGTGACGATTTCCGAGTAAGGTGTCAATGTCTTGCATGATGTGTAAATCAGGTTTTCTTTTTGTATTTCGGATGGTATGTTGCATTTCAATTTCGTCATACATGAGTGAGTGAGTGAATTTAGCTTTACGCCGCACTCAGCAATATTCCAGCTACATATAAATAATCGAGTCTGGACCAGACAATCCAGTGATCAACAGCATGAGCATCGATCTGCGCAATTGGGAACCGATGACATGTGTCAACCAAGTCAGCGAGCCTGACCACCCGATCCTGTTAGTCGCCTCTTACGACAAACATGGGTTACTGAAGGTTCATTCTAACCCGGACCTTCACGGGTGTCGTCATACATGAAGTGTGCATGGAGTAGATTTACTTCTAATATAGATGTGTATATATCATTGTTGATACTGGGTATCTAAATAGCGACTGTAGAGAAGACCAGTATGCAGATGATCTTGGTGAAACGTTACCTTACAGAGTAAATAACATTACGTTCTTTTATGTTTGTTGTTTAACTCATCAATATTCCAGCTATTTGGAGGAGGTCTGTAAATAATCGAGTCTGGACCAGACGATCCAGTGATCAGCAGCATGAGCATCGATATACGCAATTGGGATACGATGACATGGGAACCAAGTCAGCGAGCCTGACCACCCGATTCCGTTAGTCGCCTCTTACGACCGACAAGCACGGGTTGCTGAAGACCAATTCTAACCCGGCTCTTCACGGGTTCCATTACATTACGAGTTGTGTATGTACCAGAAAAGAGGTCCACTGTTGTATAATCGTAGACAACAAGGAAATACCAAACATTTATTACATCTTTTATTCGTCTTTCTTTTGAAATAAAGAAATAAATAAGAACCTTTTGAATCCACTGTCGTTGTTTTACCCTGAATGAACAAACTGACGGACACAACAGCGAGTGATTATGGTTTTACGCCGCACACAATATGGCGTTCGGACCCATGGAAACCATATAAATATGTCAAGACCATGTTGAAATATATTCACTTATTTGTGCAAATCAATCTGCTTGGTTTCTTAATATGAGGCAAAAAACGCCAAGCTGCTTAAAATTATAACTGTATCAATGAGTGTTGAAACACAGAGTTGTAGGTAGCCATTGGTGATGCATAGCAACGCAGATACGTCTCTGTCCTTGTTTTTGGACTGAGCTTTATAATGGATGTATTATCTTTCGCATCTTAGTTTACTTATTGCGACGAGACAGATATAAGAGCCGGTACAACCATATCTCCCTCACTGTGAACATAGTGATCTATACCAATACAGACCCGAGTCAAATGCTTAACAAAGGTAGCGGTTTAATAGTACCTTACTTCTGTAACAACCAAACAAAATAAATAAAAATAAAACAGAAAATGATTAAAACATCCTGGGCGATTGTATCCTTTGGAAGTATGGCGAGACAATAACATTAACCGGCTTTACCCTGGTTGTGCTGAGACAACATCTCCGACTTGCTGAGTTTGAATCTCGGTTCGAATCGCTGATTGTACCAGGGGAGACAACTCGTGGTTTGTATTTGGCGTTTCTTTTTCGCTGCATTGTTTGTTTCGGTAAATTAAAAACTAAATCATAAATTCTAGCTACAGTACCGTGAGGGAAATTATTCACAGGTCAAACTAAATATCGTGAGTAACACACTTTGATAGTTCTTACTGCGAGACGTATTAGTTACTTTGTCCCATTTTTATCATGGCATATTATTATTCTTTGAATAATCTTTTATAGAACTAACGTAACTATTTAAAAAATTAGCTATACCATAACTTAAATAATATCATTATATATACCCATACATTATCGTGCATGCACGAGAACGATAAACTAACATAAACATAAAAATTATGTCGTTGAAATATCAAAAATATATATTATAGTGTTTATGTTACCACTAAAACACGTACTCATGCTTAGTTGTTCCTGTTGCACACCAAGCTCACACTATGCTTAAACATACACGCGCATTAGTGTATGACTGTTTTACATTTTCATACAAACAACATACAGTGTACGAGGTAATGAGGTGTTTGATTCAGGAGACAAGCGTATTTTCAACGATTAAAAACAGTTAATCAGTTAAGGGTTCAAACGAGAATATTTTAAAATACCATAAAAATATCATTGCCAGATAAAGTGGATGGCCAACTGAAAGTACTGATCTTATTTAAAAACTGAAATTTTAAAAATATCTTTACTTGGAGCACATTGTTGCCTCTGCTCAAGACACAGCGTACTGCATACTTGGAGCATATTGTTGCCCCTGCTCAAGACACAGCGTACTGCATACTTGGAGCATATTGTTGCCTCTGCTCAAGACACAGCGTACTGCATACTTGGAACACATTGTTGCCTCTGCTCAAGACACAACGTACTGCATACTTGGAGCACATTGTTGCCTCTGCTCAAGACACAGCGTCATGCATACGTACCGTACGTACATTATTAGAAACTGCCCTAAGATACACGAATATACTCAACAGTGATGAAACGCTATCACAGAGAATGGTTTGATGATTACAATGAGTTCATTCCACGTCGTGTCACAACTTGTCGTCTTCATCCACCCTGAATGGATGAGGAAGGTATCCCAGTCCACCGTCTTTGTCGATCAGTGATGTTGAAAAACTGAACAATGTGATTTTTTATCTCACTTTTAAAGTCCTGGATTTCCTTGGAATCCAAACAATCAAAACAGCACCCAAATCTGGCGAAAAACAGCACTTCTTTTAAATCTGTTGCCTGTTCTGCGCATGACAATCAGACCAGGAACGTTCTCCACGTGCAAGGCACGCCTTCATAAAAACTTCGCTCCGCAAGGGGAGGCAACTCTGTCCGCCTCAAGTATCTCGAGAGTGAAGAACAATTTCACTCTTTTGACTTGCTTCCAGTTCATCAAAAATCTGAAATAAGTATTAGATTACTTTCAGTCATAATCCAACAAAACGATACACCAATAAGAACGCTTCGGCGATTAATTTCACAGCGAACGATAATAATTCTGAAGAATATACTGTGGACAAAATTTGGTATTCTACCAGATTTGATGGTGGCTAAACCTTGAACCAAAACAATATATATTTCATTGTGATGTTTTTGATACAGATATCCTGGATGTATTTAGGCCATAGGTCTGCCGTATTTCTGAACGTTTACAGCCTTGTCATAACGTCCATACGTCTAAGGTCTGATCATCTTTCAAATGTATACCTTCATTTGCTATGCAATTAACACCAATGGAGATTGAGAAAATGCTCTATACATCTACAGGTTCATATATTAATACAACATATATACCAAACACCTACCTCAATTAAATTATCCAGGCCTGACAGAAAACCATCCTCATGGTTTCCCAGTTGCCATGGTGATCGATGATTTAAAGTCATTTTGGCCTCTACAGGAATGGTTTTAGCAAAGTCTATCATCCAGATCCCCGCATGTCCTTGCTTGTCGTAGAGAAATAACAGCGAACCCCCGACAACCTAAAAATATGATCATTTTGTAAAAACGTGTTCTATTGTTATGGTATATGCATCCTCATTATCCAGAGTATGACCACTTTCACGCCAAACACACAGTTCAAATACTTCCATTGAGTCTGAAATTGCGGTATTGATACTAAAAGCGGCATAAAATCATTGTCTCTCATACACAGTGACGAGCGTACGAACGCACACGCACACACACACACTCACACACACACTGAATACATAACGGGAAACTTACCTCGTGTGTCCTGAAAAAGTTGGACCTTTCAAATCTGTCTCGGATATCTTTTAAACGAGCACACATTGCCTTGATGGTCGAGGGACAGCTGTGTATGAACTTGGTGATCGTGTCCTTGACCTGGTCTGAAGTCTTCACCTTCTTCAAGTTTGTGTTGGTGTTTGCGCCCGTCATCTGAAACACAAACAAATGGTCACGTATGCTGTAAACCTGCCTGCCATTTGAAACACAAACACATTGTCAGTCAGTCTACCCGCCACCCACATGGTCAGTCAAGTTACCCGCCATTTGTACACTGTAAGTTAGAGTGAGAGAGTTATATCACATATTGTCAGCCTAATTGAAACACAACCCACGTGATGCAGGTCTCAGACGTTCACCACTGAAACCCAAGAACACTGCAATGGTTCTGTTAACCCAGCTATAGAATCGGGGGAACCAGGAATCGAGGGACGCAACTCTGCAGAGCGGATTGACGGCCGACAACAGTTTCTCAAGCATCTCCAGGAACTTCAAACCTTGCCCTTGCCTCAAACATCTCCAAAACTTGTACTTGTACACGTAGATCGATTAACTAGAAGTCAGTGACACTTTTTCAGAACACACCTAATCAGCGTCCTCATTGTTAAATCCTCAAGTAAAATGGATCTATATCATCTTCTTACCCGCACTGCCTCTATCCGGAAACCAAGGTCAGCAGTTGAACTTTCTCGTTCCCTGAACTGAAACAACAAATGCCACCAAATTAGGATAGCCAGAAGAAGGAGATATACGTAGTGATATACGATCCCTGAAGATGCAGGTTAGAATTTGTCTTCAGCAGCCTATGCTTATGGGGTGGTCAATCTCGCTGACTTGGTTGACACATGTCATCGTATCCCAATTGCGTAAGCCCATGTCCCTCGGTCTAGACTCGATTATTACAGACCTCCGCCATATAGCTGGAATATTGCTGAGTGCAGCGTTAAATAACAAACAAATAAACTTTAGTGTTGTAAGTGATGGTACAGCAGGTACGTGTTAGCCTGACCCACCTGCATGTATCTGAGTTTAGTGATGGCCTCCTGCTCCCGCTCCGCTGGTGTAGGAGCATCAGGATCCAGCTTCACCATCTTCTCGTACAGATCCTTCCTCAGCACTGGGTTCTTTACCTCCGACTCCAGGAACGTCCTGCAACATCAACAGTTAATGAATCATGTGGTATTTTTCGTTTGTTGACGCCCAACACTAGCTATATACCTAGGCTTCTAACTCGAATTTGGACCCAACAATCCAGTGACTAACTTTGGGATCAATGTACCGCAGCACACAATCAACCAAGTGAAGAACTGGGTTTTCTTTTTTCCTGAACAAACGTGATACTTTTGTTGTCACGGTTTAACAAGGTTGGAGTGACAGAATGGATGGGTGGGAACAAGTAATATTGTTGGTTCTTTCCTTACACAGTGTGAAGAACTGTAGAGACACATTATTTATATGTATGGATCAAAATATAATCTTGAAATAGAAATTGTGCCTCTCGGTGGCAATATTGGCTATAGTTTAACCTGAATACCGCCAATATTACCGTTATGGCGTGAGAGATATAGACCATGATGGTAGTCTGTAAATATTCGCGTCTGGACCAATCCAGTGATTGACATCATGCATATCGATCCACGCAATACGGATATGATGGCATGCATAAACAAAGTCAGCAAGCCTAACCAATCGATCCCGTTAGTCGCCTCTTACCACAGGGGCGTGTCACGCTTAGAAACAGCGTTAGAAAGACATATAGGTATATAGACCCTACCCTAGAACTATTATATAGTTCTAGGGTAGGGTCTGTATACCTATATTATATAGTTCTAGGGTAGGGTCTAAATACCTATATGTCTTTCTAACGCTGTTTCTAAGCGTGACACGCCCCTGTGCCTCTTACGACAAGCATGGATCGCTGAATATCAATTGTAACCCGGATCTTCACGGGTAAGTTGCCATGTTGGTGGTACAATAAGGTCAAAACGGGAGTGTGATGAGGCTTCGTGTGATCAGAACACGCCATATTTTTGGTACATGTAACGGTCAACATATGGCGAATCTGGGAAATTTAACAAAATATATTTTCTTGCAGTGGTAGTTTGTGTTTTTTCTGACGGAAATAGCGAGTTTGAGATTAAACAGACGAGAGCAGGCCGCTAATCACGTGAACAGAAAATCCATAACACTCGTTCACGTGACCGCTCCCTTTTGAAGTAACTGCGCAGTAAATGATTGCAGGATTTGATATACAGGGCGGTTGTTTTTCGAGTTTTCTTTTTGCATTATAACACATCAAGGCGTCGGTAAATGCGAGACAGGAGTGTTGGAAATATCTCATTTACTGGACGTTGATGCTACAAAACCACTCCTTCAGACACGAAAACTGTCACATGCCACACACCCTTACATTCCCGCGTGACTGAGTTACCTCCCTTGCGTCACTCACCTTTTTCCCATCTTGACGTCCATTATATTGGGGTCAATGAATCGATGTAGGAGGTCCTCCATCTCAATGAAGACTTCGCCCACGTTAAGGAAGTATGGATGAATGATTGTGGTTTGAGGCCGGTCGTTTAATGAACTGTCACATTTTGAAATCATGATGCCATGCAGGCGATTCAATGCTCCATCTACATTATAAGGGGCGGTGGGGTAGCCTAGTGGTTAAAGCGTTGGCTCGTCACGCCGAAGACCCGGGTTCGAATCCCCACATGGGTACAATGTGTGAAGCCAATTTCTGGTGTCCCCCGCCGTGATGTTGCTGGAATATTGCTAAAAGCGGCGTAAAACCAAATTCAGTCAGTCAGTCAGTCTACATTATAAACACGTGTTCTACTTGGCAGAACCGATCTACACGACAGAGAAACATTGTACTGAACATCTGTTCTGCCGCAGGGTTTCTAAAATATGATTATGATATTAAAATAGCACGGTTACAATTTATTAGAACTAAATACTATTTGGCAAATTAATTTCGTAATATATTAACAGGGCGTAGTGTACCAACTCTAGGACGTTAACACTATTACATATTGCTGAGTTGGAACTGCCACTCATCCAACCAGCCGTTATGCTCTGTTTCCTGGGTAATAACAAACACCTATTGTACGTCTGATCTATAAAGTACATGTTTGGTCTTGCAGTGGTAGACAACCTCCCTGCTGCGGTGTGACTTACTCTAAACAACGCTTGACTGACTCTACCAAGTCCGAAAGTTGATAATAACCGTCCCAAGGTACTCTTCCACAAGCAACTTTTAGGCTTATTCGGTTCTCACGGTTTTGAAACATGTTCTATGCTACAGTCACTCGTTCTACACAACAGACACGTTCTACACGATAGACATTCGCATTACACGATAAAACGTAATTTATGTATGATACACACCCGCTCTGTACGATAGACAAGTTCTATCCGAGAAACACATTTTACACGATAGACATATTCAACACGATAAACACTCGTCCTACTCAGTAGAAACGTTCTACACGACGGACACGTTCTACATGACACACACACATTCTGGTCGAGACCTGTTCTGCCTAAACATTGTCATATATTTTAGCTACCAACATTTTGGCAACTCCGGAACTAAATGTGATGGGTAAGTGTAAAACGTTTATAGTCTATAACAAACAAACCTCAGTAAAGACGTGCACCAGACTATGTATATCGATAGTAGTTCGAGAAAAGCGGTACGCATTCTGTGAGAACGTGAATTCGGCTGAAGCAGTATAATGGAGTTCAAGAAATACATGAAACTTCCATGTGTTCGCTGAATCATAGACAAGCATGCACTTCGGTTTCGAGTTATTGACCTTCATGCAAAATAGTTCCTTTTGTTTAAAGGATACACTCTCCGTTGTATTCGACCTCCCTGCTGAAGAATGGGATGATCGGCTCTGTAATGGGATCGTCCATCAGGGCTTCATATGCCTTGGTCTCGTGGTTTTCTTTTGCCATTCTCTTCTTCCAGATTGTGTTTGGACCAGCGGGGGCGAATGATCCTGGAACAAGGTGTAGATACTGTTTAGACCTATATCTGATGAGGGTCATCACACCAGTCACACATTCAAAGATGTATGTATATCCAATAGATCATGTCAAGATTCGTTTGATCTGCGTTGCTGTAACCCATATGGGTGATTGAGTGAATTGCGGTTCACGGCCGCTTTGTACAACGTTTAAACTATATTGCACGCTATACTACACCTCGTCTCACGAACACCTTAACGTTGTCTCACGAACACCTGAACTATACGTTGTCTCACGAATACCTCAGCTATACGTTGTCTCACGAATACCTCAGCTATACGTTGTCTCACGAACACCTCAAAAGCTATACGTTGTCTCACAAACACCTGTAACTATACCTGTTCCCACGAACACCTGAACTATACCCTGCTTCACGACCACCTCAGCTATGTTGTCTCACGAACACCTGAACTATACCTTGTCTCACGTTAACCTGAAATATACCCTGCCTCACGTACACCTGAACTATACCATGTCTCACGTACACCTGAAATAAACTCTGCCTCACGAACACCTGAACTATACCATGTCTTACGTACACCTGAACTATACCTGGTCTCACAAACACCTGAACTATACCTTGTCTCACAAACACCTGAACTATACCTTGTCCCACGTACACCTGAACTATACCTGGTCTCACAAACACCTGAACTATACCTGGTCTCATACACCTGAACTATACCTTGTCTCACGTACACCTGAACTATACCTGGTCTCACGAACACCTGAACTATACCTGGTCTCACAAACACCTGAACTATACCTGGTCTCACAAACACCTGAACTATACCTGGTCTCACAAACACCTGAACTATACCTGGTCTCACGAACACCTGAACTATACCTGGTCTCACAAACACCTGAACTATACCTGGTCTCACGAACACCTGAACTATACCTGGGTCTCACAAACACCTTAACCATACCTTGTCTTACGAACACATCAGCTATACGTTGTCTCATGCACGTACACCTGAACTATACCCTGCCTCACGAACACCTCAGCTATACGTTGTCTCACGAACACCTGAACTATACCTTGTCTCACGTACACCTGAACTATACCTGGTCTCACAAACACCTGAACTATACCATGTCTTACGTACACCTGAACTATACCTGGTCTCACAAACACCTGAACTATACCCTGCCTCACGAACACCTCAGCTATACGTTGTCTCACGTACACCTGTCTCACCTGGGTGTCCTGCCACCTGTATCCACGAGTTCTTCCTGTTCTTGAGAATGGCATCACTGGCGGGTGCCGTTAGATCTAGGGCGGTCTGGAATGCAGAAGTAGATCCTTAACATTGTTTTACGTTGAGACAATGAAACCCAGACAGGTACTACCGTGACCTGACTAGGCACTATGACATACAGCACAATTAGGTATACATCACTGAATGACATCATGGGTAACATAGGGATACACCGAGATACAAACCACTGACACATCAACAATACATATCATGGTTACAGGAATAGGCACTGTGTGTGCCATAGACACATCAGAATATATATGCAAGCTATGTATGAGGGTGTGTCAGTACAAAACCGTATTGAGTCATGGACCGTTATGATGTCAGGGATATACATTATGATCATTTATTAAATCTTATGGTCGCACAATGACATAAAACCTCTGACAGCCATGTCACCTTGAAGGTGATGTAGGTTCTCGCATGGGATGACACCGCAGTCACAGACAGCTGAGGCAGGTTCTGTGAGTGAGTGAGTGAGTGAGTTTAGTTTTACGCCACACTCAGCAATATCCCAGCTATATGGCGGCGGTCTGTAAATAATCGAGTCTGGACCAGACAACAGTGATCAACAGCATGCATCGATCTGCGCAATTGGGAACCACAGGTTCTGTACTTGGTACGACACTAGTGCTGCTTCAACTTCATCTCAGACACACACGTTAGCACCAAATTCTGGCTGACGTATTGGGGCTAAACTGAGTTTGGTGGCGTTGACTTAAATATACTGATTTCGACACACCTACTTATAAACAACGCGAAACATGTCTTGACCACTTGTAAATATATATAAAAACGATTGTGTGCTGTTGCTTAGTTCACCCCAGAGGAAGGTACAAGTACTTGAATTATGTATTCCGTTTACCCCATTGAAACCCAATTTACGGACAACTGAGGTATGAACAATATCGTCCGGACTGGCGAAGTTACACTATTCATTCGGGGCGGTGGGGTAGCCTAGTGGTTATAGCGATCGCTTGTCACGATGACGGCCCAGGTTCGATTCCGATAACGTGTGAAGGTTATTTTCAGATTCCCCATGATGGTATTTCTTGCATATTACTAAGAAAACGGCTTTCATTTAACGAAGGGCGGAAGGATAGCATATAGCTAGTTGTTAAAGCGTTCGCTCGTCACGCCGAAGACCTGGGTTCGATTCCCCACATGTGAAGCCCATTTCTGGTGTCCTGTTATTGCTGGGTGTCCTGTTATTGCTGGAATATTGCTAAAATCATATTTGAATACAAACAAGTAAAACGAAATAACTGAATCCCTACTTCTCATTCTACTACAGTTTCACAGGAACGCTATGTCACAATGGGCCATGAAGCTATATATGTTAAAAGCAGCACCCGTACACTCCCCAGTCCACATTGGTGTAGGTCAGATTCTTACATAACCCCCTCCCGCCTGGGATCAGGAAATATACAGCAACACGTCAGGTTTATGGGAATTAAGACCCCAGCGCCATAAAAATACCTTTCCGGCTTTCATGGACTTCATGGAGATTTATCACCACCGCCTCAGCCGACTATATCTAACCCTCCTATATATCAACATGAAATGGATTTGAACGTTTGGTACAGTTTTGTCATTTGTCTTCCGACGTGAATATATAGTTAAATATGACGCCATACTCACCTTGGATACAAATTCGGGCCCTGGATACATGGGTACCGTCTATTGGTGTATATAGATATTTGTGTTCGAGTGTTATGGTAAGAGAATACAAACATACCTCCTTATTGAAATATCGATAAATCAAGGCGGTCGTTCCTGTGCTATTGTAAGACACCTATACTCGAAGAAGGCGCTAAACGCACTGGAGTGCAGCAAGGAGCTTTTATCGACTATGACCCCATAAATTAACGTTGTTCTGTGACCCTGACAATCGGACCCTTTGGATAATCTCGGAATTGAAATGCCAAGGTCGTTGTGTTCAAATATTCGGTGTTTACAACCACTGGATGGAACGCATTGTGTTTATATACTTACTTTGTTTATAGTATAAAGGACTTGTTTAGCAATATTCAACAAATGACATGGAGGGTAGTGTGGGACTTGTATTGATCTTCGATTTGATCTATAAATTTGTTTAAAGGGGTCCCGGAGTGAAGCATGCTGATTGCTACTGAAAACTTAATACTCTTTCATCCAGTTTGATAACCTAGTATCACAGTACACATGTGTACAACACCGGGGACACAATAACACACCTGGCCCAAAAAGGGAGATAACCCACAACAAAGGGAGAGAATCCACAACAAGGGGAGATAATTCACAACGTGACAGCGAACGTACCAGTGCAAGCAGGTTGGCAAAAGAAGCCACATTGAGGGACTCGATACCGTGGGACTGGCGGTTGTTGTTGGGCTTCAGCACCAGACTATCCTTGGAACATCTCTTGCACAGGGGTTCCTTCCCAGGCCTCTGGCGAGTGATCTTAATGAAGTCATCATCACAACTCGACCTCCTACGGTCTTCCTTGACACAGAACGTACACTTCTCGTATTTCTTCCACAGTGGGAATCTAGAGCGGATCATCCTGTCGTGATTCTTAGTAGGTGAAACTCTTTGAGGGCAGTCCACCCACACGTTCCTGGAAGTGTTGACTGGCTTCTTGTTCAAGTTCTCCATGCTGTTGGAACTTATGTCCTTGGCATACTTCATTGCAACGTTTTGAGCAGCTTCATTTTCGGAGACGTCGTTGTTGACCTTGCGGAAACGTTGATGGTACGACAGCGCCTCCACAGAGTCTTCTTTCGATGGCTGACTTTGGACGCATCCCATGGTTGGTTTTTATACCTGACTGAATCCAATGTTATCACAGTGTCGTTGTCAGTGTTAATGATATCAGTTAGCAATGATCGTGTAGGTGATACTTAAAATCTGATTATCTTTCGAGATACAGTTCATGAGAAACACGTCACAATGATGTCAGCGGCAACAGGTGCTGGAAATTAAAATGATACTGATAAGAGTGAGTGAGTAAATTGTGTTTAGCTCCGATTGGAACATTATCTCCCTCTCACCATACATGACAGCACACAGTAGTAACTTGGTATATCCCAAGGAAAAGGAAGGCACTCGGAGTAACATACACATTAGCACCAAGGTGTATCCCATCTAGCCCGAGAGGAGGAGCTCGGAGCAATATACACACATTAACGCCTGAGTATAACCCACCAAAGTTGGAAGAAGGCACTCGAAATAACATAGACACATTAACACCAGGGTATATCCCACCCAGCACGGAAGAAGGCACAGGACATTATTTGGCAATACATGATCATGGCTTTCGTAGATTTAGCAAAGAAAAAAGATAACTGGTCGTCATCATTTATCATGTTTGTGAACCAAAATTGCGCTTTTTGCCCCAAATCGTAATTGGGTTCGAACCCACGATCAACAGCCCCTGGTGTTTTTGGGGGGGACATAACAGAGCCAATTACTTAAACATGGTGAGGTTTTGAACATTCAACAATAGATTTAACTTTGGTCTACTTAATGTATGCGGAAGAAAGATAATAACATTAAACTCCACATATACACTCTTACATACGAATCCATCCTGAAGCAAACAATGCACTACCCATCAAACATCACCCTCAGCGTCCTTCAAGCGTTACTAAATCCTAAGTCAATGGCTCCAGCATCAGTCTCATTTCAATGAGGAGGATTGCAGGTAATTATCATACGCACAGCTGAACACAAGCATAGTTGTTACTGACGCCAATGATCGAGTGTCCCATGAACCCGGCTCTAGAAATGCTCGGGCGCCATAGTCCCTTCTCTTTTGTTCGTGCAGAATATGTAAAGAGCAATACACAAATGAAAAACCATTTACGAATACAGCCTTGTATTAAAATGAGGATTTGTCAGAAAAAAAACTCATATGAGTTTACCTCCCAGACAGGACGAAGCAACGATTCTTAAAACAGTCATATGTTCAAAGAAAGGAAGACCCACTGACACCAAGACAAGAAGGCCCTACGACGTCAAGAAAGGAAGACCCACTAACACCAAGACAAGAAGGCCCTACGACATCGAGGAAGGAAGACCCACTAACACCAAGACAAGAAGGCCCTACGACGTCGAGAAAGGAAGACCCACTAACACCAAGACAAGAAGGCCCTACGACGTCGAGAAAGGAAGACCCACTAACACCAAGACAAGAAGGCCCTACGACGTCAAGAAAGGAAGACCCACTAACATCAAGACAAGAAGGCCCTACGACATCGAGAAAGGAAGACCCACTAACACTAAGACAAGAAGGCCCTACGACATCGAGGAAGGAAGACCCACTAACACCAAGACAAAAAGACCCTACGACGTCGAGAAAGGAAGACCCACTAACACCAAGACAAGAAGGCCCTACGACTTCGAGAAAGGAAGACCCACTGACACCCAGACAAGAAGGCCCTACGACATCGAGGAAGGAAGAGCCACTGACACCAAGACAAGAAAGCCCTACGACATCGAGGAAGGAAGACCCACTAACACCAAGACAAGAGGGCCCTACGACGTCGAGAAAGGAAGACCCACTAACACCAAGACAAGAAGGCCCTACGACGTCGAGAAAGGAAGACCCACTAACACCAAGACAAGAAGGCCCTACGACACCGAGAAAGGAAGAAGAACCACTGACACCAAGACAAGAAGGCCCTACGACATCGAGAAAGGAAGACCCACTGACACCAAGACAAGAAGGCCCTACGACATCGAGGAAGGAAGACCCACCGACAGCAAGTGAAGAAAGGCCCTACGATATCCAGAAAGGAAGGAACAACGACATCGAGAAAGGAAGACCCACCAACACCAAGTTTAGAAGGCCCTACAATACCCAGAAAGCAAGACTCACCTACACCAAGAAAAGAAGACCCTTCGATTCCCCTCAAGAGCATAGGCGGTCTACTTCGCTGCAAGGTCGAGGGTCTGTACGGGTCACTACTGCCACACAATCCAAGGCGTCATGTTAGTGAACAACTCACCATTGTCTACTCCAACACCGTCAATATCTCCCAACCCTGACATGCCATTATGTCAGCGGAGTCAGCGGATGTTCTCGCATGAAAGGGATGTACAACAATTGCTATTTTCTGAGTCTCTTTCCAACAAATACCACAAGGTCACAAACACAATTGTCCCTATCATGCCCGTCCTTACAACGTGGCGTTGTGTCAAGGAAATAGTAATATCTATGCTGATACATAACTGGTGTGTTCGGATGAATCAATGCGGGACAGAGAATGAGGCCGAAAGCCGTAAGATCAGACCATGGAACATGACAATTCCCTTTTCGAAGAAATAGGTCCAACATTCTTGATATGGCACATCCTTATCTCTCTCTGTCTATCTGTGGTCACACCGCATGCCACAAGGAACACATTAGTCGTAATTGTTTGGATTGGGTTCAAACCTGTGATCAGCGAATCCTGACACGACTAAGGGATGGAACCTCTGAGTAACCCGAACCAAATAGTAGACGGTTCGTTAATTGGCACTGCTGATTACAATGACAACTCTCTGATAAATAAGTATTCAAGTTCGAATATACAGTATGGTAATCACATAAGTACTGACGCATAGAAAATGAGTGAGTTTAGTTTTACCCCGTTTTTAGCAATATTTCAGCAATATCACGGCGGGTCACTAGAAATGGGCTTCACACATTGTGCCCATGTGGGAATCGAACCCGGGTCTTCGGCGTGACGAGCGAACGCCTGAACAACTGGGCTACCCGACCACGCAGTGAAACTGAACTGGGTTGAGATGACACGAATGTAACGTGTAACTTTGAATGCACATGTACAGCAGTATATGTCTCGTTGGGAATAACGTACGTCAGTCTGATAGTCGAAGGTCACGGTGACCAAACTTGCTCCTGATCTCAATCACTGGATTGTCCGGTCAGATTCAGTAGCTGGAATAGTCAGTGCAGCATTCAACACAAACACATCGACTGACAAGAGAACTTAAAATTAGGGTTTTCACAAGATTTAGTGTAACCAGAATGCCATTTACTTAGGATTACAACCAACGAAGATGAATATTGCGAAATAAAAGGGACCAAGTGAAAAATATTCGTTCGTCATTTCCAATGTTCGTTATAAACATGACTAATGATGTGCATTATCCCGTATGCTTATAGGGGTGGTGGGGTTGCCTAGTGGTTAAAGCGTTCGCTTGTCACGCCGAAAATCCGGGTTCGATTCCACACATGGATTGTGAAGTCCATTTCTGGTGGCCCCCGCCTTGAGGGGGGAAGGGAGGTGTCGACAGGGTGGGACATGTATATCATTGCCAAACACTTCAGAAAACCGCCTTTGCCTTTGCAACAGGAAGCACTGTCACATATATGCATTATAATACCATCATATCACATCACTAGGTCATCTACTCAATATCCGTCCGTTAAGCGTCCTCGTATCAGAGCTAGTTTCACGAAGAGAACAATATGCTGTACAGGAAACAAGGTCTCAAATGTCCTCACAGGGCTATCAGGTCTACTCATCCCATATTCCGTTTTCGTCATACGTACACTGATCAAGGTCTGACAACAAAGACTATGGGCACATTCGTATTGGTTACATCTACACCATGTGAACATCTCATTCCTGTACGACCTACATATGATGATGTAGGCAGGAACTTGTGAGGTCGGAAAGGTCGAGGTGGATCAACTCAGCTGGAAATGACTTAATGATGCCCCATGGGCTTCTCGACACAAAAATAATATGTTCTGGGGTAAGGGTTTTCATGGTCAGCCTGTACACTTGCCCCAGTAACCCTACTTTAACCCTTGTCCGTGGAGGACGGTAACGACAGAGATACGTCCGTATCAGTCCACCAACATCATGCCTACTCCAAAAAACTTAAAGAAGACCCGATATGAGACCACGAGACAGATTAACTGTATGAAATAATGTAAAAAATATGAAAAGAGGATGTTCCTTAATGAGATGTTTAGAAGTTTATATGACATCAGCAATATTACATCCATATATTTCTTATATAAACAGTATACATTAGGAAAATATTACTTATTATTCTTACCACGACCGACTGGATTATTTTTGTATTGGTAAGCTTGTATAGATTTTAAATGTACCTACTGCGTCAACAACAAAGTACAAGCTCTACCCGATGCAGATTCATTCAAGCGAAACACCTTCACGCTTACTGATAGCAAGCCATGTTTTCAGATATCTGCAAACTGCTCACACAATCTTGTACACATGAAACACTGATAAGAAAATCCCCCAGATACTGCTCCTGGGTTGAGATTCGAAACACACAGACATTCACACGAAACGTATATCCTTCATGAATCTCCTCAAACAAACACACACATACACGCTCCATTGTGGTACGTCCTGTGTTAGGTGTTATGGCAGCTTACACTGAAACAGGTGCGTGTTGTCTTGGCTAGACTTGCGTGCCGAATCGTTGGTCTTGACACGACGAGGCACAGAACCAAACGCTGTAAATCATCGGAAAATCCCAGAGAAATCCTCGAAACACGTTGCCTGATCACATAAGAAATACCTCCTCCAGTCACAGGGCTGATATTCATGATCCAGAAATTCTCCCCGTAATTCACGTCACAACAAAGCGTGTATCTGACACATACAATTCTCGCTCTCCCACAGACAGCTCTGAATTACACCAACAGAACCCTTCAGCTCAACATAGAACTCTTTTACCGACCACTGAGTTCAATTACCACTAAGTCCACCTGTCAGCGGCGTCGAAGCTCGCCCACAGCAGGCACTTTTCTGTATCCAGTCTGTGTGTTTGTGACCCTCGCTTTCCATGCATCCCAGTGTCGCTACCTCTCCCGCCGATCTCCTGGTGTGTGCATGCTCAAATGTTATCAGGTAGCCTACGGCGGGGCTAACCTTCGTTATGAGTGGATCCGCTGTACTGCCGACGTATGGGTCTCACAATTTACCGGCCCTGCCTTATCAGTGATGAAACAACATATGTTGCAACAGATAATCCGTGACTCGATCCCAGACACGACATGCCTTTCATAAAACCACTCTGGTTTCAACAGATTGAAGATTTTCAACTAAAAGGAAATCTGTAAATGGGATAGGTATGGGAAATTCAACACACATTGTTCTACGTTACTGTGTGATTGAAACTGGAGATGAGGTGTGGCCACACCCTCCATTGACAGCGATAGAGGGGTCAAGAGCATGTTCTAACGCACTGATGATCTTTCATTGACGCACGCTCCCCTTTCCGTCCATCCCCTTTCCGTCATCACTAGGTTACTGTTGCATACTCACGCAATGATAATATTAACTTAGAGGTTTTCTTATTCCATGTATCGTCCATGATGCAGTGTATTACATCGCGTTAAGATATACGCCCTCGTCAATCCAGGGTATAATATAACGTTGTGATACATCCTCGTCAATCCAGGGTATAATATCACGTTGTGATACATCCTCGTCAATCCAGGGTATTACATCGCGTTGTGATACATCATCGTCAATCTAGGGTATAATGTCACGTTGTGATCCACCCTCGTCAATCCAGTGTATTACATCGCATTGTGATACATCCTCGTGAATCCAGGGTATAATATCACGTTGTGATCCATCCTCGTGAATCCAGGGTATAATATTACGTTGTGATACTCCCTCGTCAATGCAGTGTATTACATCGTGTTGTGATACACCCTCTTCAATCCAGGGTATAATACCACGTTGTGATACATCCACTTCAATCCAGGGTATAATACCACGTTGTGATACACCCTCGTCAATCCAGGGTATAATACCACGAGTTGATACATCCTCGGCAAACCAATAAATACAATGTTATGTCTGAATGACAGAGGTTGAAAGCCACCACTTTTGTCTCTGATAGAAATGTCCACGATACTATAAATATCTAGAAGTTCTCGTCGAGGTAAATGTAATGATTTACAGACTTTGATTTTAACATTTTCCATAAATATCACAACGAACAGAACTTGAGTTTCACAGTTGTGCCCATTCGGGAAATCACATTCATAACAGGTCTTGCCCGCCGCGAAGGTAACATGTGCTTCAGTCTCGTGGCACAGAACCGTTCACAAACTCTCAAAATATTTTCCATAAAATTCAAGCAGTTTTCATCGACGTCGGGGCATTTTAATCTGAACTTATAACAGTAAGGGACACATTCGAAAGACAATGTGTAACAAGTATCATGTTTGTTTGTTTGTGTGTGTGTGTGTGTGTGTGTGTTTTAACACCACACTCAGCAATATCACAGCTACAAGACACCAATCTGAAAATAATGAAGTCTTCACATTTTGAGCAGTAGATAACTGTAATGGTTGTAAATACCTGCCAAAATGTACATTTTCCATTCATAAAATACGTACTCTATGTACTAACACATCTTAATCAATTGAATTTATCAAAAACTACTCTAATTAACTTACTACATTGAGGAAGTTACAAAGATCCATCTTGAAAGCGCTCACGTTGAGTTCTGTCGGGTTGTGATACCTTTCTGAGATTCTCTCATCATACGTCACCCTATATACTCACCACCTTTAAAAAACTGACACGCGAGTTTTAATCAGTTGTGTCGTCACTAACGCGCACTTCAACACACTTCCTCTGTTTGTGGGTCACGTTCATGACTCGACATTTATCATAAGGCTTCATCCGTGTATTGAAGATAACTGTATGGACATCGTGTTCATTGTTACAAGCTGTGACGTCATAGTGTGAACTTCATGACTTCAGGCCCATTGACTGTCTATTTATAGCAACAAATCCGAGGAGGTTCTATTCATAGCTTGTCGCACCACTCTCCCATTAGTATCAGGTTTAATACATGTGTAAATATATAGTACCTTGCTCTAGGCAAGCCAGACAATACAATTAGAGCGGAAAATGACATATATGCAGCTGCTTCGGGCTAAGTCTGTGCTGGAATATCACGTTTCTACCTCACGGTGAAAATAAAACCCCGGTGCTTGAAAGGTACACCTATATACAATACGCTTCGTGAGTTAAAAAGGTTAATGGCGATACGACGTAAAATTTAAACTCAAAAGTTTAACTCACTCTCGGCCATACTGACTGAATGA